TCAGTGGTAGTTTTGCACCTACTTCGATGTATATGTGTGCGGAAAGTAATCCCTGTCTGCCGAAGTTGAGCTCTTGTCGCTCCGCCGGGGATGACAAGTGGTATGCTCTGGTTCGGGAGGATAAGCCGAACCTGGTGAGTGCGTGTGAGAAGGGTCACGCCGGTGTCTGTGCATCTATCAGAAAAGGGCATGCGGGTATAGCGATGTCGGACGTACGCGGAAGACCTGCGTCTCTTTGGGAGCGGCGCTTCGGTGGGAGGCTCCTGCCTGGGATTACGACTCTCAGACTCCCCCGATTCCCTGCGCCTGTCATGATGCGAGCTGCTACCCTGTGTCATCGTATTCCCTCGAGGCTGACCCGACTGCGGATTAGAAGGCGTCGGAGTCGTTGAGATCTGAAGACGGGATGGTGCTCGGGACTGACGGTTCTCCGGCCTGTCAATCACGAATTAATTGTTGAAAATTCCGTCGGGGCCCCTGATTTACTTACACGGGGGATAGAGACGGACCACTGAACCCTCGAGGGTCGAGATTCCCTTGAAGATAGCTGGATGGTGCCTGTTCAGCGCTTGGGGTCCTCCTTATCTCGCCTGGCCGACTCTGGTGCTGGTTCTGGTGGTTCTGGTTTTCCGTGTGCTTGCCTCCGGTGGTGAAATTGTTGGCCATCTGGTGATGCTCGACATGCGCATGAGAACCCATTGCACGTTCAGACCTTTGGTTATGAGTGTCCATCGAACCTCCACTGGCGGTGCGGTGTTGTGCCGCTCCTTGAGCGGGTCGTAGGTCGCCTGGCGAGCTGTTGGTTGTTCATAAAATCAGGCGTTAGCCCTAGAGCCGAGGAACAGGCGTCTAACTCACCCTGAAGGTAGTGCTGCATCTGGAGAATAATACGCATGCGAACCCCCTGCGGGCCCTGGCTCTTTAGTCGCCCCGCCCTGGTTAGCATACGTTCTAGTCTTGTTCCTGGAACGCAGTTGGTCCACGGTCGGCTCTTGGGGCACAGCACGGCGGGATTGCTGGCTTCTGTAGAGAAAGTCGGTGTACGTCGCAAAGAGCGCAACAGAAACTCACGGAGGGACGGCAGAGGGCGCCAGAGGCATCCCCTGAGGCTGGGCGGCGTAACGGGCCTGATAATCTGGCCGATGATGGCCTTCCCCCGAAGGTAGTGCTGCATCTGGAGAATAATACGCATGTGAACCCCCTGTGGGCCCAGGCTCTTTAGTCGCCCCGCCCTGGTTATCATACGTTCTGGACTTGTTTCTGGAACGCAGTTGGTCTACGGTTGGCTCCTGGGACACAGTACGGCGGGATTGCTGGCTTCTGTAGAGAAAGTCGGTATATGTCGCAAAGAGCGCAACAGAAACTCACGGAGGGACAGCAGAGGGCGCTAGAGGCCTCCCCTGAGGCTCGGCGGCGTAACGGGCCTGATCATCTGGCCGATGATGGCCTTCGTAGTCGTTTTGCCTGGCAACGCTCGTAGAGATTGCGCTGCTCTGCGGGACAAACTGCGCGTGTCCAGAGCTAGCGGGAGGCGCGTATATGCTGCGCAACAGTCAGCCCGGCAGCTATCATGCAAATCCCGCGATAACTCACCCTGCTTTCCCCGCTGCGTAGGGTTCTAGGGGCGGTCGAGCGCCCGCCTGAAAGTGACTAGACTGCTGCGTAGGGGAAGCCTCCGAAGCCCTCTTCTTCGAATAGTAATCGCTAGCTGGGGGCGACTGACTGTACCCTGGGGCATTGCCAGAACTGGGGTTCCCCTGACCCGGAGGTGCATCCCGACGACGGCCTTCGCGACGGTGCTCTTCGTCCCTCCTGATATCTGCTATCAGAATTTCGGAGGGTAAATCTGAGCTGTTATAGACTCACGATGTCTCAGGTCGCGAACTATGCGCGGGTACGGCAGATGTGGATACTGACGTCCTCTTCCTCGCATTATTGCTGTCAATAGAAGACGGCTGTCCGTATCCTGAGATATGATGGGAGTCGATGTTGCTTTGGGCTGGGGGTACATATTGATGATGTCCATCCTCGCGGCGGCGCTCTTCCCCCATTCTGCTACCGGTACTGTCAGGACCTTGCAGGGGCACATTACGATGCGAGAGGCTTACCTTGGTTCAGGTTGAGAGCCATGCCTGGAAGCAGCGGCCGGTACGGCGTTCAACTCATGGTCGGTGGTCCTGCGCACAGGGTACACGTTTGCCTCCGGACGAGGGTGACGGCTGCCATAAGCTTCCGGAAGACCTTGAGTGCCAGCGTGGCGGCGATCACTCTCGGGCGCCGTGTACGCTCTGCCCATGCGAGATCGATGGTGGTCGCCCGCATCCGGTGCACCTCTGTCGGTGTGCACCCTACCCGTCTGGAGGTGGGAGTTGGCGGCAGTCTGCCTTTGCAGAAGACCGTCCTGAGCCGCGCGCCCATCCGTTCTACACGGAGGCTGTGGTGAACTTTGATGCAATAGGTCGAGAGGGCAGACACTTACGTCTCATGGTAAGATACGTGAGAACCTTGTCGGTCGAAGTTCGCGGAGCGAGCTGGATAGTTGGTGCCGTCATCCGGTCGTGCTGCGTGAGTACGAGTCCCAGAGCAGACGGCAGATTCATCACGGGGCGAGGCAGGGCCCTCTCCAGTGCGTTGTGCCGGTGGCAATACAGAACGCATCGCAGACGGGTAGCCGCTCTGTGACATGTCGTTCGGATACTAGACGCTGCGAGACTTGGTAGTGGAGTATGCAAATAGGTGGCAGCCGGCGGCCGCTGGGCGTGCGCCCCAGCTCTTATATGTGATTGATGCCCCCCCCC